AAACATCTGCAGACGGTACAATATACGATTTTTTATTTTTTATCGACAACAGCAAAGGCTGTTCCGATCCTACTAATTGAGCCCGACATATGTCACAATATAAACTATCGCTAACGTGTTTGCTAACGTAGCCTGCGATGTACAGAACTACATTGTCAACATATGGTGACAAGTCCCAAAATGTTTTAATATAGTCGTGACCGAAATCAATAGATTCGTGTAAAAATCTGGAATCGCCAATTGGGCATTTTTGATTAACATTCTTGAATGTTGACTGGAACTGCAGTTTGGTAGCTGGACGATTTAGAACACCAATGGAAGGCACTGCTTCTGGTTTCAATAACCATTTCTTTTGGCACAGCAGATCCGTACTATGTCTATAGTCACTCTGTATAAAATGATCAGAGCATATGTATACATTCGTCACATTGTCCTTATCAGATAATTTGCAGGCATGCAACCATTGTGCTCGAATGCTCACGTTTTTTGGAAATCTGCAAATAATTATTTATCTCGTCATGCTGTTAAATGTGTTATAAAATTTGCTTGATAACCTAACCTAACCATGTGTTGCAGCAAATATAATAATATATGCAATTAANTTAAATTANAAAAAATAATAGCATTTTATAAATACACATTTTATGTCTAAGATATGTACTTGTGCATTGTAAAATTTGCATCTTTTGTTGCTTTCTTCTTGCACAAAAAACAAATTCGCACCATCGTGAACCATGTAGATTAATGAAATTATCGCCTGAAATTTGAAAAAGCGCAATTTAGTTTTAGCTGCCGAATTTGCTATTATACAATACAAAATTGTGTTATAAGTACAAAATTATATTCGCACATCTTATTATATACTTTATACTTTACCTTTTTCTTCTTTAATTTTCTTGAAGTTTCTTTAATTCTTCGCAATTTTCACGTAACTGTTTCATACGATCACTAATATCACGTTGAATGTGATACTCATATCAACGTAATTTCAAAAAATGTAAGCGCATGCGCACAAAGCAGCTGGACCTTGCGCGAAAGAGAGGCTACTATATTGTCTGCACCGTAACGGTGAGGCACCGTACTAGCAATATAAGAGTATTACATATATGGTCATCATAGTGAGTGAATTATGTAGGCACGATATGTAAAGAAAACAACACAGCAAAAATATAGAAATAAATGAAGAATGAAATGACAATAGCACGTTATGCTTCAAATCTGCTACATTTTTTGAGCAAGTTCTGCTTGATTGATGCAATACTATTTGCATCACGGCATGACATATTTATATTCTTTTTTTTTTTTTGTTTTTTTGTCGACACTAGTTGAAATAATAGATTATGTTTGAATGCTGGCTACATTGTACTGGCATAATGTNTTATTGCAAACTTTGCAAAATATGATCACTCAGTCTTGGTTATCTGGGCATTAACCTTATATATAGAATAAATGTAACTTACTTATTACATACTTATAATATGCTTATTATATTCAAATGTATATTATATAAAATATAATGTATATCAAAATATATGC